AAAACTTCATTTTACAGGAAGAAATTCATTGAGATGATTAATCTCTTTTACAAGGCTATTCAGGGCAAAAATACTGAGCTGTGAGATGCTGTTTCTGCTAACTGGGAAATGGAAATTGAACATTTACCAAACTCAATGTTACAGTAAATTAACAGGAATTAGTGTCAAGCTTAGCTGCTTTTAGCTACCCTTTTGCTGCTTTTTTGCTAGCTAGCTTTTAGCTTCTGACTAATTAAAAGCTAATAGTAGCTAGTGTTTCCTTTAACATAGACTTCTCCATTAAGATAAGAACTGTATTGATCCTGTGGAAAATTGTTGTGCCAACATGGCACCCCAGACCATCACTGACTGTGGGTGCTTCACACTGGACTTCTGGCATTTTGGCATTTCCTTCTCCCCAGTCTTCCTCCAGACTCTGGCACCTTGATTTCCGAATGACATGCAAAATTTGCTTTCATCTGAAAAAAGTACTTTGGACCACTGAGCAACAGTCCAGTGCTGCTTCTCTGTAGCCCAGGTCAGGTGCTTCTGCCGCTGTTTCTGGTTCAAAAGTGGCTTGACCTGGGGAATGTGTCACCTGTAGCCAATTTCCTGCACACGCCTGTGCACGGTGGCTCTGGATGTTTCTACTCCAGACTCGGTCCACTGCTTCCGCAGGTCCCCCAAGGTCTGGAATCGGCCCTTCTCCACAATCCTCCTCAGGGTCCGGTCACCTCTTCTCGTTGTGCAGCGTTTTCTGCCACACTTTTCCCTTCCCACAGACTTCCCACTGAGGTGCCTTGATACAGCACTCTGGGAACAGCCTATTCGTTCAGCAATTTCTTTCTGTGTCTTACCCTCTTGCTTGAGGGTGTCAATGATGGTCTTCTGGACAGCAGTCAGGTCGGCAGTCTTACCCATGATTGCGGTTCTATTTCATCCCTCCTGACCGCCAGAGGGCGGTGCTGAAAGCACTGAATGTTCCCATCGCGCATGCGCTGATTTGAGTAATAATACCAACGGAGTCACAGGTGTGACACGGATGACCAATCAGAGGCTATATAGCCCGACGTCATCCGCTGCGCTGCTCCTATTTTCTTCTCGCGCGCGGTTCAATTCAAGGCTTCAACCCTTTGGACCTTTTCTGAACTTTTTACCGTCGTCGGAAGCCCGACTGCCCGTCTGCGGGAGTAGCGTGTTCGCCCTCCTAGGGCTGCAACGGTTTAACCCTGTTCAAAGGTATTTCTGCTGTTTCGTTGGGAACTACGGCGGTTTCCGCCTCTCCCAAATTACAGCGTCTGACTACTGTGTGTGATTCAACACCGGTGAGTAGTTTTCCTTATATTTCGCCGTTGGTTAGCGGTAGCGTTTGCTCCGCTCACGCTTGTTGGGAGACCTCCAACCGCGTGGTCGGCTGGACTGTGCTCCGACGTTGTTTAGGACTACTTTGTGTGTGATGTAACACTGGTGAGTAGTGGTTTTTTGCTTATATTTTGCTATTGGTTAGCGGTAGCGTTCGCTCCGCTCCTGTTTACTGGAGGCCTCCAACCGCGTGGTCGGTTGGACCGTGCTCCGAAGTTTGTTTATTACGTAGCCAGCTGAGTTCCTGGC